CCCCCCCCCCCCCCCACAGATATTTATATACAATGTTTACACACACACTTAATTGCACATGCATTTTATACACACAGATGTGTGCATACACACCTGTAATTGTACACACACACACACACACGTGCATAGATCCATCTATACACATGACATTGTACACATCTTTTAATACACACACATAATTGCACACCCATTTTGGTACACATAGAGGTGTGCACCGATTGATCTACACACAGCTAATTGCACACACATTTTATACACACACTGGTGTGTGCATAGATTGTGTGTGTGTATAAAAATGTATGTATGTGTAAATCAATCTAGCTACAAATATGAACTTTTACACACACGTGCATAGATCTATACACACACGTACATAATTGCACAGTGTGTGCACCAGTTGCGCTACACACACACACACACACACACGTGCATAGATCCATCTATACACATGACATTGTACACATCTTTTAATACACACACATAATTGCACACCCATTTTGGTACACATAGAGGTGTGCACCGATTGATCTACACACAGCTAATTGCACACACATTTTATACACACACTGGTGTGTGCATAGATTGTGTGTGTGTATAAAAATGTATGTATGTGTAAATCTAGCTACAAATATGAACTTTTACACACACGTGCATAGATCTATACACACACGTACATAACTGCACAGTGTGTGCACCAATTGCTCTACACACACACATAATAGCACACACATTTTTATACACACAGATTGCTCTGCACACCCATTTCTATATATACACACACAGAGTGCCCCCCGCCAGGCCACAGGCAGGCCTGCAGCACCCCCTGCAGGGCAGAGCTGGGCACTGCAGGACATGGGGCCCAGCCATGGCTCTGCCTCCTCCCAGCCTACCCCCGTTACACTTGGCCCCCCGGGGTGGGTGGGGATCAGGGCCCAGACCCCCACTCCCAAGCCCTCAGGACCCCCCAACAGAGGAGCCCAGAGCTGTGCACTGTTCGCTGGCAGCAGGACTTGAACCCAGGGCCTTGGCATCCAGAGCTGGAGGCTGCAGCCCACCCCCATCCTGCTGCACTTTGCGCACCAGGGGGAGATGTGAGGGCTGGAAGGGACTTCCCGAGAGCATCAGGTCCAGCCCCCTGCCCGAGGACAGGAAGTCAGCTGGGGTCAGACCACCCCAACAAGATAAATGTCCAAATGTTTCTTGAAAGTGTCCAGAGTAGGTGCTTGCACCGCTGCTGGAGGGCATTTGTTCCAGGCCTGGGGGGCTTGGACAGCAAAGAAGTTTTTCCTTACGTCCAGCTTAAAACAGCCTTGCAGGAGTTTCCTTCACTGGTTTATTATGGTATAAAAGAGGCCAGTACAAAGGGGGTAGGCTGCCCTGAGAGGGGCTGAGCTGGGAGCGCTGGGGGCAGGGGCAAGCCGGTTGGGGCAGAGGTCACGACCGCAGGGAGCATCGGGATGCTCAAGGCAGGGCCCCGGGGAGACGCATCATTCCGCCAGCGCAGGGGCAGGGGCAGAGGCAGGGACAGCTCCTTCAGCCTCGGCCGGCGGCTTCTTGCGGGCATCCAGGGGTGGCCGGGGCGGGGGGGCGGCCGGGGGCTGCTTGATGGTGGTCCACACCTGCGAGCGCTCCTGGGGCTTCTGCTCGATGGGCTGCCACTCCTCACCCCGCACGGCGGCCTGTGGAAGAGCCCGAGAGGGTTAGCAGAGAGGATGCAACCCCACGCCCAACCAGGGAAAGGGGGCAACCCTTCCCTCCCACCCTCATGCACCCATTCTCAGGATAGGTAATGTTGAGTCCCTGTGCTGCTGCAACTGCTCATGCAGCCATTCTTTGCTGGCACCGTGGAAAAGGTGGGTGGGGAGGGAGGCAGTGCCTGGGACCTGCTGTACCAGCAGCCTGGAGGGCGACCAAAGCAAGCCCGGCTGCATTTCCGGCTGCCCACGGACCTACCAGTAAGTAGATGGCGCTGGCAATGCCGAGGCAGGCCGTGCCCAGGATCGTGGCCAGGAGGAAGCCGGCCGGGACGGCGAGCCTGGGAGGAGAGGGGTGCTGGGCTCAGGCAGGAGCTGCGCCCGGACCTGCACGCTAGGAGCAAGCGTGGGCGGGGGTATGCATGGGTGGAAGAGCAAAGGTTTGTGTGCAATATATGGCCGGGGAGCAAAGGCTTCTGGGTAATACATGGGCAGGAGGGAGCAAAGGCTCGTAGGTAATGCACAGACACAGAGAGCAAAGGTTTGTGGGTAATGCGCAGCCCAGGCGTGATGCAGGCTGCCAGCTGTGTATGCAGCAGCGCTGAAATGCAGCCACCTCTGGGGGAAATGCCGGCTACAGCGGGTGTGAACACAAGGCGCCAGGGCGGCGAAAGGCAGGAAGCCGGGCACCTGCTGAGCCCTGCCGTGCCAGGGCCACACTGCCACGTGGACAGCGGGAACCCAGCACAGCACAGGCTAGCATTGCCGCAGGCTGGGAGCAGGGTGGGCAGTGTCACGGGAGCAGGCAGGAGCTGCCCATGCACACCTGCAACAGCTGCACCCACACTCAAGCAGAGCAGCTGCACATATGCACCTGCACACGAACATGAGCATGCGTGTGTGCTGACACACATACACGAGCTGTACCCATGCTTGCAAAGGAGTTATGCATGCACACACATGCATGGAGGAGCTGCACACCTGCATGTACAACACCCAGACAAGAGCACGCACACACAGGCACATGCACACACATACACACACACAGAGGAGCTGTGCACCTGTGCACACAACACCCAGACAAGAGCACACATAGAAGCACATGCATGTGCACATGTCCACAGCCCACACATGCAAAGAGGAGCTGTACATGCACACACATACACAGAGGAGCTGCACACCTGTGCACACACAACACCTGCACTAAAGGACACATGCACGCGAGCACACATGCATGGGAGCTGTAGATGCACACGCAGAGAAGCTCATGAACACACTGCACCTGGACAACAGCACACACGCAAGAGCTGCACATGCACACACAGACACAGAGCTGCACACATGCACACGCAGACAAGACCTGCAGACATGCACCTTTGCGTACACACAGGGGAGCTGCACATGCACACACGCAAGCGTGCACAGGAGCTAACTGGCGTGACTCACGCGGCGTGCAGGATGGCCCGGACATAGTAGTTCCTCGTGAGCGGCCCGAACACCTTCACCACGGCCGTCATGTACTTCTGGCCCCTGCGCGGGCCGGCAGGG